GGCCTGTGTAAACTGGTCGGGTTCAAGGGCAGGGGGAAGCCCCAGGCTGAATCAGGGATCCCAGGGATGGAGGCAAGGAGGCCCAGGGAAAGGATGAGGAGTGCCAGGCACCAGAAGAGACTGGATCCAGAGGTGGGGCGAAGGAAGTGCTGGGAGTGTCTCCCAGGTGTCCGGGGTCTGGCCCTGCCTGCAGAGGTCAGCCACTTGAGGAATGGAACCATTCCTGTCTGACCTGCGGGAGGAAAGCAAGCAGCACTGGTATGGGGAGTCTCTAGTGAGGGGCCCTTCCTTCCACTGTGGGGGCCAATGCCTGGAGGCTGTCAGTCTGCTGTGTGGCACACACCCTCCTAGCTACCTGGGAGGCAGCAAGGTCCACACTGGGCCAAGGGGAAAATTTTCCAGAAGCCCAGGGCTACCTACTGACAAGTTTCAGCATCACAGAGAAATGACAGGTCTGTCTTGTCAGGCACCAGGAATTCCTGTTTGGGACCTGCCTTCCTTGAGGCCAGCATGCCCAGGGCACTGTAAATCACAGTGAAACGACTAGTAATAACTGCCACATTTGTCAAAGGCGCATTCTGTGCCAGGAACTGCACTGGCTTCCATTCCTCCACCCATCCATCATCGCCAACCTTATACTAACCTTGAGGCAGGCACGGTCCCTGCTTTCAGAGGTGAGGAAATGGAGACTCACTGAGTGAGTGGCTTAACTAAGGTCCTAGTAAGTGATGCTGGCCCCCTCCCAGGGGCATTGCTGGGTGGCCCCCCAGGCCACACCCCACGAGCCTGACCATTACCTCACCCCACCCTCACCCCTGACTCAGCAGGAAGAACGGGCAGCTGCTCAAGCTGGATGTGAAATGGGGGCCGTGACCCCAGAGGATGAGGCAGGGCCAACTGGCTTCAGTGGACACAACTTGGCCAAGTGGCCAAGGGCTGCTGTCCTCCTCTCACTCACTACCCAGGGAGCCCAGCACAGGAAGCAATCTCAGACATTGGCTGGACCAGAGGTTCTGAAACACGTCTGAGCATCAGGCTTACTGGAGCGCATTTAAAAATACAGATTCCTGGATACAGAGATTTGGATTCTGTAGATCTGAGGGGGGCCCAGGAATGTGCATTTTATGGAACCTCCAGTGTTTCTGATGCAGAGCCAGGTTTGAGAACCTGAGGCTGGTCCACCCTCTTCACTAAACAGTCAAGAAAAGGAGATCTCAGCTGAGGGGAGTGTCCTGCCTACGGTCCTACAGGTGGCCGAGTGGAGATTTGGACCCAGGCAGGCACAGCAGCCCACCTATTAGACTGTGTCTCCTGGGAGGAGGGAACCAACTTGAAAGGTGATCATATCTCTGGAGCCTGGAACTGAGACAAAAAGTTGCAAGGCAGAAGATGCACTCGATATATAAATATTTGAAATTTCTAGAAAACTCACTTCTAAAAGAGTAAAAATCTACAAAAGATAAAAATAGCATATTGGAAACAATACTTGGAGCAAATAAGACTGAGTCAATATACTCATAACATCTATCTATCCGTCCATCGATCTATCTATCTAGACAGTTCATTCAACTCGATCAGGAAACCATCAAAGCTTTAGTTGGGTAAATAAGTAAACAGCATACATGTGCACACGACATCACAGTTAGTAAACAAATATTTTTAATCTGCTTGGTAATCTTTAAAATGTAAATTAAAACAAGGTACTGTTTACATATTAGACTCTTCCTAAACTTTATTTTTGTATATGTACATATATATGTAAACTTATAGAAAAGGATTGGGAAGGACACACATGGTGGCAGAACTGTCTGATTGCCTCTTAATATCTATTCACTCCTTTTTTTTTAATTAACCAAGCCTATCTATCATGGGGGGTGATGGGGAAGTAGGCACATGATCAGTTTGAAAACTACACTTCCCAGTGTCCCTTGTGGATCAGGGCGGCCACTTGGAAGTAAGCTGATGTCATGGGGCACGGGGACTTTCAGGGAAGCTCTTTATTTTATTTTATTTTTTTGCGTATAAGGAAAATTGGCCCTGAGTTAACATCTGTCGCCAATCTTCCTCTTTTTGCTTGAGGAAGACTGTTGCTGGGCTAACATCTGTGCCAATCTTCCTCCACTTTATGTGGGATGCTGCCACAGCATGGCTTGATGAGCAGTGCTAGGTCCGCGCCCAGGATCCAAACCTGTGAACTCTGGGCCACTGAGTTTGGAACCGGTGAACCCTGGGCCACCGAAGCAGTGTGCGAATTAACCATTATGCAACCGGGCCGGCCCCAGGGAAGCTCTTCAGAGGGGCTGATCCAGCTGGAAAAAAACACTCTGTTGCCCCTCTAGCCTTTCTCCTTCTTATTGCCTGGAATGCAGACATGATGGCTGGAGCTCCAGGGACCATATTAGACCATGTGGAGACCTTAGGGATGGAAGTTACCAACTGAGGATACAGAGCATAAAGTTAGAAGCCTGGGTTCTTCATGACCAATGACCATGGGTCCACCATGCTAGCGCTGAAATGCTTTGTCCAGACTTCTTTTATGTGGGAGAAAAATAAATGAATTTATTTGTTTAAGCTTATATTTCTTTGAATTTCTGTCCTATGCAGCTTAACCTAAACTGATACACACATCCAGCTTCTATGGAAGTGTGACGAGGACTTTCTTACTTTACTTTCTATGCCATGGTATTGCTTGCATTTATTATTATTACTTTTTACAATACAAATGTATTCACATATTACTTGTACAACCATCTGTTTTGGAGCCCCAGAGAACTCAATTTGAGTGGCAGCCCCACTTCCTAGCTATGTGACCTTGGCCAGTCAATTAATTTCTCTGAGCCTGTTTCCTCATCTGCAAAATGGGCATCATAATAATAGAACTTATCTCATTGGGTTGTTGTGGATCTTAAATGAGCTAAAGCAGATAACATTCTTGGCACCATGCTTGGCTTACAGCTGTTACTGCACTACATTATGCTACCACGTAGGCACTGGGGGTGGCAGAACCAATTAGGAAAACCTGGGACATGTTGAGTAGAAGAACAGGTGGCAAAACTGGCATATGAGTGGGATCCCTTTTGTGAAAAATTATTTTTAGTTCTATATCTATATGTGTATATCTACATCATGAGATGTCCGGAGGGATGGTTGTCCAAATGTTAGTAATGGTAATTTCTGGGTAGTAGAATTTTTGCTTTCTTCTCTATGGTTGAAAAAGAGCATTAGTATTTTTTGAGCAGGAAAATAAAAAAAGAAAAACCCCTTGGAAAACAATATAACAATTCACACCAAGAATCATGAAAGCCTTCATACCCTTTGACCCACCTATCTCACTTTTGAGAACTACCCTGAGGAAATCATTTAAATGAAGAAAGAAGCTATATCCATAAAAACATGCACTGCAGGATTATTTATAATAGAGGAAAACGGGGAACCACTTAAGTGACTTACATTAGGGCCGTAATTATTAAATTATTCACTCATTGGAACATTATGCAATAATAACAATGAGGAAGATGATGACCAGGGAGCAACGCGGAAAATTGCTGATGACAGAACAAGAAGGAAAAGGGGCAGAATGCAAAATGAGATCTGCGCCAGGAGCACAGCTGGGCAAAAATCTTGTGTGCATTTGGACGAGGGCTGCAAGGGAACATAGGCAAATAAAAACAGTTTAATTTGTCGGAGCCACTGATGGTGGGTGACTTTTTTTTTGGATTTAGAATTCTAATGTTTCCATAATGTTGTTTGTGTAATAAAAAAAAAAAAGGGGGGGGGGCTTTAAAAGTCCCCTCAGGGAAAAGAAGGGAAGCAGGGAGAGGGAGATAGAAAGGAGGTCTGGGATTCTCCCAGAAGGGGGTTTGGACAAGAGGAATTCGGAGGCAATCTGAAACACACAGGTCTTTGCTGGGGTGGCCCCAGAGGTGCATCCCCTTTGCTCTCTGACTTGAGAGTGATCAGATGGACCAAAATAGTTGCCGAAGTTAGGGAAGCAGGATGTTAGCTGATGATAAAGCCAGGGTTAAGAGTGTTCTTCAGACTGGAATCATCTGGAAAAACTGATCACGCTTGCTATTGATGAGATCACAGAGAAACGAGCACCAGCGGGCTGGCTGGAGTGTGAACAGTGCAGGCTTCCCGGAGGGCAGTTTGGCATTGCGTATGCACAGGCTGTGTGTATCTTTGGTCAGCAATCCCATTTCTTGGGATTTATCCCAAGCCTAAGGAAATAATCAGCCAGTGCATACAAATATTTACATAAAATGTTCACCACAGAGTTTATAAAAATAAAAAGTTACACCCTCAGTTTCACCAAAACGGAATTGGTAAACTAAATCTTGGCACAACCACGCAGTGGTATACTATGAAGCTTCGCTAGGAGAAAAAAGTAGATATAAATCTGACATGAAAAGATGCCCACTTCATATGAGGTAGAACAAGAAGCTTCCAAAGCAAGGTGCACACTATCCCGTTTTTGTAAGATTACATATCTAAATATGCATATAAGAATCTCTACTAAGATAAACACCAGAATTCTAACTGGGTCGTCTCTGAATGGTGGGATTACAAACTGTATCAGCCAGTTTAGTCCGAATTATGTTGCAGTAACAAACAACCCGAAAATCCCCAGGTTCACAACAGTGAATGTTCATTTCTCGCTCCTGCTCACGTCTGTTGTGATGGGTCACCCCTCTTCCCAACACCTTCTCCTCTCTAGGACCCAGGCTGATGAAACGGTCTGCGTCTGAACACTGCAGGTCTCTGTGGCCCAGGGAGGAGATGGTGGACCACCCACTGGCTCTTACGATCCGTGCTGGGCAAGTCTCATGGCCCTTCCCAGGTTCCACAGGGCAGGGAATATAATCCCCCACAGGCCCTCGGGAAAGGCCACTCAAGGAGGGGCGGGAACATTTTGAACAATAATACAATTTACCACACAAGTTATTCCATCCTTGTCTTAGTCTGTTCAGGCTGCTATAATGAAAATATCATAGACTGGGTGGCTTAAACTACAAATATTTATTTCTCTCAGTTTTGGAGGCTGGGAGGTCTAAGATCAAGGTGCCAGCAGATCTCGTGTCTGATGAGAGCCAGCCTCACAGTTCATAGATGTCTGTCTTCTATCTGTGTCCTCATGTGGTAGAAGGGGCGAGGGAGTTCTGTGAAGTCTCTTTTATAGGGGCACTAATCCCATTTACGAGGGGTCCCTCCTCACGACCCAGTCACATCCCAAAGCTCCACCTCCAAATACCATCCCCCTGGGGATGAGATTTCCACATATGAATTCTGGGGGACACACAAACATTCGGTCTATAGCAATCCTATTACTTAAAGTCCTTTTCTTTGCCACAAGCAGGTCTGTCCCAGGAAGTGGATGGTCTCATGGAGATGGGACACGTGGGTTCTCTCTGTTAGAGCATCTTCAGGACGGAAAATACAGGCACCAAGTCCAAGCTACCCAGCAGGGCAGAGGGGCCAGAAAGAGGTCAGGATTTTGCCTAATTTAAGAGATAGGTCAATCAACCAGGACTCAAGGTAAGTATAAAACAACGATGTAACAGAAAGTTCTGGATGTCCGGCAGTGTTCTGCCAGGTCTGCTACTTACTACTTATAGGACTTGAGTCAAGGTAGAGCGCCCTTTGAATGTCCCCATGTGTAAAACAGAGATTAAAACAGCTTCCCTACTCACTTTACACTACTTGGGGGGAGGGGAGGGGAGGGGAGGGGTGGGGTAGGGGAGGGTGGGGTGGGGTTGGGGAGGCTCAGTCACAGGGCTTTAAAACTGTTAGTGCTCCTGCACGCGGAAGGTTTGGTCCTTCAAGCTGTAACCACACTCAACATATCACATTTCCCCAACTCCTCTCATCACCAAAGGAGCTTGCTCCACCCTTGCACTTGGGTTTGTGTGCTTTTCGGTAGGGCAGGTAGAAAGAGGACACCAACGCCTCAATACAGAGAAGGAGAGCCCCTTTGATGGATGAGCCAGAGAAGGCCCGGGATGCAGAGGAAAGGACCCCACTCTACTCTGTCATGTTTGGAAGTAGCTGTGTCCCGCTCATTCCTCCTGACCCCGGCCTCTCAGGATGAAGGCAGGAGACCACAGGTCTTTCCAAACCGGCCTGATCATCAGAGCAGTTCAGGAAGCATTTAAAAACTAGATTCCTGGGCTCTGCCTCCTGAAGGTGATTGACGTAGTGAGGGTGGCACCAGGCTGAGCCAGAGAAGGTGATCCATGCCACCCCGACCTGGCCCTGGCTCCCGTCCAGCCCCTCTGCACAGGCCTCGTGAGATGCCCCAGGAGGGAGGGCCTGGGCAGCTTGAGTGGCACGAGCCCTGGCAGCCGGGAGAAACCTGAGTGGGCCCAGGTTATCTGATGGCGCGCCTGCTCCGGCCCGTGCTCACTTCTTGAATGTCAAGATCAGGGGAAGGCTCGGGAAGAGGCTCCCCAGGCGGCACAGGTCACCCTGCGAGCTGTCTCGGGGCCAGAGGAGGTAGTAAGAGAAACATATTCCCCCATTCCTGCTCCCAGCTTCCTTGGCCTGCCTGCACACCTTTCCTGATAACCCTGGACTTTATCTCTTGACACATCTATCAACATAGTGGTGAGTTCCTCAAGGGGTGGGGCAGGTCTTATTCCTCTCTGCATGCCCGGTGCAGTGCCTGGCACACCATTAGTGTTTGCTGAATATTTCATGAATAAAGGAGAAGTAGTAACACTTACTACATTACCACAGGGTCAAAGAAGGACTGATATTCACACCCACTAGGCATGAGGGGAATGCACGTGCTCACTTCTGGGGTGGGGGGAACCCCATCCTTAGTCACCCAGCTGGAGGCTGAGCTTAGCATGCCCTGATCTGCAGAGGTACTAAGTTACTTTTGGCATCAGGACACCCTTTGAAATGATAAGTTATGGAGCCTCTTCATAGGAAAATGCCTTTCTCTCTCTCTCACATACACACACATCCTGCATACAATTTCCCTTCAAAAAAAAGGGAGAGCTCTTTTTTTATGGATGAGTGCCAGTAAATATAATGCCAGTAGATGGAATGCTAGGGTCAGAAATTAACATTTTGCAACCCCCAATCTAACCACTGATTTTGGCAAAGATCACTGATGGATGCTAAAATCACTGAGCAATGGTTGTCAGGGAACAGGAAGGAACCTCAGCCCTAGACAAAGCCTCTGGCCCCCAAATCAGGACTCCACACTCCAGGGAGGGGCCCGGACCAAGGAGAGGACCACAGTCAAGACAGACTCCAGATGGGCTTAAGAGACTACTTAAATAAAACCAGGTGACCATTTCTGCAGGTAAAAGGCCAGGGGAGAATCTGGGCTCTGGGTCTCTCCTGGATTCCTCTCCCCTCCCCTTTCGCTGCTTGGCTCCCCCCACCTTCACTCTCTCAAGGGAAAGGCTGCAGTGGGGAGTGGTTGGGGGAGGCGACTCAGGAGGGTCTGTGGGGCTCCTGACACCCCAAACGTATCCTGCTTGCCAAAAGAGAAGGGGCAAGGCTTGCTCTGATCTCCCCACTGTTCTCCGAGTCCACCAGGCTGCCATGCTGGATATACACATGGGTCCACCAGCATACCCAGTCTCTTCTATGTCATGTCATGTATTGCAGGGGTTGGAAACCTGAGAACTCTATTTCTCAGAATCTCTTGCCAGCTAGGATTTGCTTTAGAGTCCACTAATGACAGGCACTCACAGAAACCATCACTCCGTCCTTGGCAGTGGTGGGTGAACTTGATGCTAGTTCCCAGACCAAAAATGTCCTCCCATCTACATTGCTGTAGCCATTCCCCTGGGGATGCCAGGGCTGGGCAATGACCAGAGCTGAGACAGCGCCTGCCAGTGGAGATGTCTGCAGTGTCGGCCCCCTCCCCAAAGCCTACCTGGTGTTGTCTCAGGATACAGGAACATTGGGTCATCCTCTGGGCACAGGGGAGGAGGTGCTCTGCAGCCAGGACTCTTGGAGTCGAGGAAGAAGGGTCAGCAACAGAGAGTCCAGCACAGCCAGACCCTCCCAGGAACACCGAAGGCCCCTGGAAAACCAAGAGACCCGGATGTGACTGCCTCATCTTACCAATTTTAATCCTCACCCACCACCAGTGCCAAGGCCCTGGCACCCGCAGGCCCCTCCTTGTCAGTCTTTCTCTCTTCTCCTGGGTCTGTGGATCTGCAGTCAGGGCTCCCTGGGACTCCTAACAACCCACACCCTTCAACACACCTGTGATCCAGCAGCAAGAGGCCCTGCTCCAGCAGCACCTTCACCTCTGTGCTTGCTCCAAACACGTCCCAAAGGGTCAGCTGGGGCTCAAACTGCTGCCAGTGCTGGGGAAACCGGAAGGGTCAGAGGTGCAGAGACTACAGGGTGGGCAGCTGGTGGGGCTACTCTGGGCCACCTGTCTGGGGGTGTGGTAAGGGGTGAGGGAGGGTCCAGTCCAGGGATCTCAGCAACTGACTCAGGCACACCAGGACCAGGCCAACAGGTTGAAACCCAGCTCCCAGCCAAGCCAGGTCTCCCTGCTCCTCCCTTCTCTCTCTGCTGGCCAGGGTATGGCCAGCCCCAGCCAGGGCTTTATGGCCCTGACTTCACCCAGAGCAGCTCAGAGTTTGAGCGATTATTATCTGTTGTACTTCCTATCTGAGCTTTCAGTGCTGCTTAACAACATTTGAAAACCCTTATCTAGTCTATTCCCCCACATAGCTGAGAAAACTGATGTTCAGAGAGGTGAAAGGACATGTGCCCAAGGTTGCAGCAGAATGGGGACGAGAGCCCGGGTTTCTGTAGCCCTAGTCTAGGGTTCTCACCACTGCACCACACTGCCCATTGGTTCTGCCCATCAGGCCTCGGCTGGACTAAAGCCCAACCATCCAGCTGCTGGCCCCAGAGGAGTGGGAGGGGTGTGTTTGTGTGTGTGTGTGTGTGTGTGTGTGTGTATAGAAGACAGAGTGAGAGACAGAGAGAGTGATTCTGCAAGGTTTAGGAGGAAGTGGTGTGCCAGAGCCCCATAACCCCTTACTTGGTGAGTGATCCCCACGTCTGTGCGTAGCCCCATGGCCAAAACTTCCTCCAGCCTGAAAGAAAAACCACCAAGCAGTCCTGGAGAGACCTGTGCCTCTCACATTCCTCAAACCCTATGCTGGAATGTATGGGGGGCTTATGAAGATCATGCAGGATGGGGCAGGGTGGGGGCAGGACAAGGCAGGACACAAGGATGTCTATGTGGAGGTGGTTCTGGGGGCGCAGGGAACCCCTGGTGAAGAGCCCCGTGACCTCAGATGCTCACAGCTCCAGCTCGCCCAGGGGGACACGCTTCCGGGTGCCATGACCAAACAGCATCACTTCCTTCATCCAGTTGTCAGGCTCCAGGGTCTGGATCCGAGCCTCCCGGATGTGGCCTCCGACCCCCTGGGGCATAAATCGCCCATGGGCCCCTGACAACATCAACCACCACCCCATTTTAATAGCAGCTAGCACCGTGTGCTTGCCAGATGTTAAATCAGTGGTTCTCAAAGTGTGGTCCCTGGACCAACAGCATCTAATATGCTAGAAATGTAAATTCTCGGGCCCTACCCCAGGCCTGTCCAATCAGAAATGTTGGAGGTGGGGCCCCGCAAGGCGGGTTTTAACAAGCCCTCTGGGTAATTCTGATGCACGCTGAAGATGGAGAACCACAATGCCAGGCACGACATCAAATGCCTCAAAACATATACCCAACAGCTCTACGGAGTAGGTGTTTTCTGCCCCACTTTATGTACAAGGAAACAGAGGCTTGGAGAGGTTAATAAGTGGCCCAAGATCACACAGCCATGACATTCTTCTCCTGAGTCATCCCTTTCATGGTTCACAGGGGACTCACCAGGCCCGACGCCAATGTACTGCCCGCACTGCCAGTAAGTCCAATTGTGGGTGCTCAGCGCCCCCTGTGGGGAAGGAAGGGATAGCCAGTGCAGCGTGAGGAGGGTGACCCTGCTCCTGCTCAGGTAAGGGGCACCTGGTTAGAAGGTCCCACCATCTCAGGCCTCAAGAGCACCCTTCTCCCCAAAGGGCCACGATTCCCTGGTCACACCTCAGCTCGCCCATTCCCCACCTCCAGCTCAGCCCTAAGACTTACATTCCGGGCAAAGTTGGAGACCTCGTACTGGCGGAAGCCAGCCTCCCGAAGGACTGCCCGTCCCTCCTGGTACATCTCAGCAGCTAGCTCGGGGTCAGGGGCAGGAAGGGTGCCCTGCTGCACCTGGGTGAAGAGTGCGGTGCCCCGCTCCAGGGACAGCTGGTAGAGGGAGATGTGGTCGTCACAGTGGCGAAGCAGTTCCCGCAGCTGCCCAAGCCACGGCCCCACCTGCTGCGCCGGCAGCCCCAGCATCAGGTCCACAGACACACGCCCGGGGAAGAGGTGCCGGGCCTCCGCCAGCGTCCGCAGAGCATCGTTGGCCGAGTGTGTCCGCCCCAGCAGCCGGAGCTCAGTGTCATCCAAGGACTGGGGAGAGAGGGTCGGGTGTAAGCATGCAGGCCAGCTTTGAGGGAGACAGAGACATACCGTGGACTCAGATACAGGGGAAAATGCAGGACACGGCAGGGAGCTGGAAGGCGGATGGTCAAGCCAGTGCCATGGGTACCACTCACTGAACGGTCACGACGTGCCAAGCATTTTTATGCAATATCTAACTTATCCTAAATAACCCTCCAACATTAACTCCATTTTACAGGTGAGAATACTGAGGTTCAGAGATGTTAAGTAACTTGCCCAAGGTCACACAATGGCAAAGTCAGACTAGAATTTAGGACTGCCTGACTCCAAAGCCAACAGTCTTTTTTAAGTTTAATTTTGAATTATTTCGAACGTATAGAAAAATGGAAAGAAAAGCTCAATAAACACCTTCATCTAGATTTACCAACTAACACTCAGCCACATTGGCCTTGTCTCTAAGTATATACGTATATAATTATTTTGTTGAATCATCCGAGAGTAAGCTATAGATCAGCACTGTCCAAAAGAACTTTCCGCGATGATGGAAATGTTTTACATCTGCACTTTCCAATACTGTAGGCACTAACCACATACAGCTGTTTAAAGTTAATTAAATTTAAACCATCACATTCCAAGTGCTTACCGGCATGCGGTCAGTGACTACTGTACTGGTCAGTGCAGACATAGAGCATTTTAGTAGAATATGGTAGCCACTGGCCATGTGCTAGTGAGCACCTGCAATGTGGTTATTTAAATGTAATTCACTTGAATATTGTAACCCCTTACCCCTAAGTGCGTACCGTACCCTTAAGCAGACTTAAGTGCATATTTCCTCAAAAAATAAGGACACTCTCTTACATAATCACAATCCAGTTACAGAGTTCAGGAAATGTAACATTGATACAATGCCATTATCCAATACACAGTCATATTCAAATTGGACCAATTGTCCCAATGTCTACTGTAGTCAATTCCTCTTCCCACCCCAACCCAGGATCCAACCAGGGGTCACACACGGCATTCAGGTGTCATTATCTCTTTAGTCTCCTTTAGTCTAGATCTTCAGCCTTTCTTTGTCTTCCATGACAACGACATTTTTGAAGAGTACAGGCCAGTTGCTTTTAAAAACCTCTCTTAAACAACCAGTTCTCGAGATCTGTGGGACATCTTTGTGCTGACAGTTAACAAGACTGTACCGGACACTCAAACATCTGAGAGGGTAGGTCGATCTCATGTTATCTGTTCTTACCACACACACACAGTCTCTTAATTTAGGTTTTCCTAATATTTCCTCACAATTAGATCCAAGATATTGGAACCAGAATATCTCAGAAATGATGTGTCCCTTTCAGTATATCCCATCGGGACAAAGCCCTGACCCCACTCTATGGTGAGTGACGCATATACTAGAAGGAGAGGGAATACTGGATATGGAAAGACCAGGGGTCAGCCTGAGAGAATAATGTTTCTCCTACTTAAAAACCTTCAGAGGCTCCCCTGTCACCAGTAGACAAAACCCCAAACTCCCTAGCATGGTGCTGAAGGCTCTGGGCCCTACCTTGCAGCCTAGTCTCCAGCCTCTCCAGTCACAAGGAATGACTCACAGCTCCCCCAAAACATGCAGGCTCTTCCATATCCCGTGTCTTTTCCTCCTATACCCTCTCCCCTGGTGAATTCCTCATCCTCATTCAAAGATCACCTCCTCCAGCAAGGTTTCCACGATTTCATCAGACTGAGATGCCCTTCGGGCTGTACTCTGAAGGCCTTTTGTAGAGATTCGCTTTGCCATGCTGCAGTGATCTGACCACCCGTTTGTCTCCTCCTTTTTCTCCAATCATGTCGCAAATTTTTTTTGAGCTTCCACAATGTGCTGGCCAGTATGGTGGGTGCTCGGAATGTCACAATGTACAGAAAGGCATGCATGATCCCTGCCTCAGAGAGCTTTGGTCCAGCCAGCAGGAGACAGTTACGAAGTCACAAAAGTGTCACTGTACACTTTTCAGTACCTACTGGGTCCTGGCATCCAGAAGGAGCTCAATCAACGTTTGCCCAATAAATGATGAGGAGCAGAGGAGAGACAGCACAGAAGGCCTGGCTGCCCTGGGATGGGCTGGGTACCATGGATTACCTGGAGGCCAATGGACAACCTGTTGACTCCTGCTGCCCTGAAGGCTGCCAGCCTGGAGCCTGGGGCCGAAGTCGGGTTGACCTCCAATGTGACTTCTGAGTCTGCAGGCAGGTGGGCTGCCTGGGCCACTGCCTCCAGCACAGCAGCCACAGTGTGGGGACTGGCCAAACTGGGGGTGCCCCCACCAAAGAACACAGAGTCCACCCTGAGGAAAGAGGATGGAGAAGATGAGACCCGGGGGAGCGCTCCGGGATGTCTGCACCTGCCCTGTTCACTCCCCCAGATAATTCCCAAGACCCGCCTACGGCCGCCAGTACCCACCGCCGCACCCCGCTGAGCTGCAGCAGCGTCTGAGCCTCGGTCACCAGACAGCTCCGCATAGCCGCCTCCTCCACGCCGCGGGGGATGTACTTGTTGAAGTTGCAGTAAGAGCAGCGCTTCTCACAGTACGGCCACTGGGGGCAGGGAGTGCATGAACAGGGCAAGAGGCGACCCAGGCGGCCCTGGCCACTTCCAGGGTTCAGTCGCACACATCCCCGTCCCCATTCCGAGGTCCGTCAACAGTGGCTACCCCATCTAAGCCACACAGCTCCCCAACGCAGGTCGGGCTGGGATTACCGCGCCCACTTCAATACGAGAAAACTGAGCTGCAGCAGGGAAATCACTTGGTCAAGGTCACCGAGCTGGTGAGCCCCAGAGACTTCAGGTCTCCGGACCAAGACATTTCCCAGTCAGGGCACTAGGTCCCATCCCAGACTTCCCTTGGGGGCGAGGAAAGTCGGCAGGTCGGCTCTGGACCCCTGGGGCCGCGCCCCGCGAGCCCCGCGTGCCCCTTCCACTCACGTGGACGTACAGCGCCGCGCGCTGGCTCCGGGGTGCACGGCTCGGGGATGCGCCCTCCGCGCGGCGGCGCCTCTGGGCCATCTTGGCCGCTGCCGCCCAGCCGCGGGCCCGGGCCCCGGGCAGCGCCATGGCGCCCACTGCGGCGGGGGGCGACCGGCGGCACTAGGCAGCGCCCGAGGCCGAGCCGCGCCCGGGGCGCAAGGCTGTGCACAGGCAGGCCGAGCGCGCCACCGGGGCGGAAGGAGGAGGGGCTGCGTGACCGCGCGCCGCGTCCGTCGACGCGCCCGGAGGGCCCGGGCCTCGGGTCTGCGGCGCCACCTGCTGGGCACTGATGCGCTCGCCGCAGCCGTCTGTCCATCCTGTCCTCGGCGGCCTGGAGCAGCCCGCCTTTTGGCACCCTGTCCGGGGGCGAGTTCCCTGAGCCATTCGGAGACTCTTAGTTCGTTCTACCAGTTCCTTCACATTTTATGTGCCTGGCTCAGAGCTGGGCGCTGGGGACATCTAGATGCATAAGAGCAGGTCGCAGTGACAGTGCATAAGACAGGAGAGAGGCAAATAAACAAGAGACAACAGGCAGCAGGTATTAATTCAGCACCTCTGAATACCAGGCCAGTGTGCTCCGTGCTGCGAGGCAGTCTATTACAGGGGCCATGGAGTCGGTGGGGGAGGAGAGGGCCCTTGGGCTGGGTGTTGAAGGAGCAGAAATCCCAGGGGGCATGGGGTTGGCCAGGAGAGTAGCTGTCATCTCCTGGGTCAGGCCAACCTGGATACCGGCTGGGAGGAGAGTCAGAGATGGTGTATGTGGGAGAGACAGGGTGCAGTGGAAGGAGTGGGAAAGCAGGCACCTGATGAACTGTCCTGTGAAGTGGAAAGATCACGGGCTTTGGAGTCAGACACCTGGGTTCTAATTCCAGCTGTGTGGCCTTGGGCAAGACTGAACCTCTCTGAGTCTCAGTTTCACCATTTGTGAAGTGGGGCTAATGCCTACTTGATAGGGTTGTTGGGAAGATTTCAAGAGAAAATGTATATGAAAGTGTCTAGCACAGCACCCGGCACTGAGAGTATCCTAAACTTATGTTCATTTTCTAACAAGTAAAGAGGAGGCCACTGCTGCTGGGGGCAGACACAGCAGGGAGTAAGGACTGGAAACAGAAGCAAAGTTTCTGTTTCTGAGCTGGAAACCTAGGTGTCTTTTGGAACCCAGCTGTTTTCACTTCTTGGGTCAAGCTACAGCCTGCTTGATCTGGCCCTGCCCGTCAGGGAAGCCCCGGGTTCATCAATTTAAAAAAAAAAGGAGGCCAGCCCTGTGGCACAGTGGTTAAGTTCACAAGTTCACATGTTCCGCTTCGGAGGCCCAGCGTTCACCGGTGGGGATCCCGGGTGTGGACCTACACACTGCTTGTCAAGCCATGCTGTGGCAGGCATCCCACATATAAAGAAAGTAGAAGAAGATGGGCACAGATGTTAGCTCACAGCTAATCTTCCTCAAAAAAAAAAAAGAGAAAAATCAAAATTGGGTCAGTTGGTGGGGAGCGACGGGAATAGGAAGATGTGGGATGACAGCTAAAGGGTAGGGAATTTTTTTTAAGGTGATGAAAATGTTTAAAATTGACTTTGGTGATGGTTGCACATATCTGTGAATATACTAAAAACCACAGAATCGAACACTTTAAATGGGTAAATTATATCTTAATAAAGCTGTTGCGTATATAAAAAAAGAATGCTTCTTGAGGGACTAATCTGACAACAATTTGAAAAAGAAACAAATATAGCCCCCAAAACATGGGGTTGGTATCTCAAAGGGATCGAATGAGGATTAAGTTAAGTAGGGAATACGTGCCAAAGTGTTTAATGCCGTCATGGACAAGGAATAGGAAAAGTGCTAGTTTCCCTTCAGTCTCTTCCCTTCTCCATCCCATAGTAGCTGCCAAGAGAGCATGTCAGCAAGAGACCGGCCAAAGACAACAGAAGCTCTTTATGCCAAATCACCAAGACAGACAAGGGGAATGTGGGGGAAGAGCAGTGAGGACCTGGGAGGACCCCACTCCCCCCTTTATTCACAGGTTTAGATGTTGTTCCATCTGCTCGCGAAGTTTGAATTTCTGGATCTAGAGGAAAGAGAACAGAGTGAGAGCCAGGCTTGGGGCCTCCGCCAGCTAGGGTGACCACCCGTCTTGGTTAGCCTGGGATGGAGGAGTTTCTTTAGCTAAGGCCAGGAAAGTTCAGGGCAAACCAGGAGGAGCCGACTAGTTGGTCACCCTATTGCCCATCCCTGAGGGAGGCATAGGTGGGGCCACCTGGCCTTCTGCACCTGGGGACCCAGGCTGCCCTGCCCCTCCCTAGGCTCCTCTACAGTACACACCTTTCCTGAGACAGTGAGGGGGTACTCTGTGACAAACACGATGTATCGGGGAATCTTGAAGTGGGCGATCTGCAGACCAGAGGGAGATATAGGGTGAGGCTAGGTGGGGTCACAGGGTTAGGGGAAGGGAACAGTGGGCTGGCTGGTGGGCAGGGAGAGGGGGTTGAAGAAGTGAGCCACATCAGCGTGGGGGGGAGGGGTTGAGGCTCCTACCTTCCCCTTGCAGAAAGCCTTGATCTCCTCCGCCGTGGTCTTCTCCCCTTTCTTCAGCCGAATGCAGGCACAGATTTCTTCTCCCAGCCGCTTGTCCTTCACACCCACCACCTTCCAGAGTCAGAGACAGATATCAGACCTCACCATCCGCATCCATGTTTCCTACTCCTGGGCTCTCCCCTGGGCTGGGTGCTCACCTGCACTTCCTGCACCTTCGGGTGTGTGTGAAAGAAGTCTTCCAGCTCCGCAGGGTAGATGTTCTCGCCGCCCCGGATGATCATATCCTTGGAGCGGCCCACGATCTTGCAGAAGCCCTTTTCATCCATCGTGGCGATGTCTCTGCAAGGAAAGCCCGGGAATGGCCTCCCACCTCTGCCTCATCCAGCTGGCTGGCTTGCTCATTCATCAAACCTACTCTGTGTCTTGCACTGCTCTAGACCCTGGGGGACACAGCATGAACAAGACATACCCTGGAACTCACAGTCTAGTGGAGGAGACAGACAAAAACAAATACACCAATACCTATAACACATCCTCTCTCTCTCTAAACCTATCTACATATATGCTTTTCAAGGCTAGCTTCTTTTTCACCATTCAGGTCTTGGCTCAAATGTTTCCACCTTAAGGAGGCCTTCTCTGATCAACCAGTCTGAGAGAAGCTCCTCTCCCCACCACAGCCACCTTCTCTCCCATGAGCCTATTTTACTTTCTTCATGGTGTTCATCAGTGTCTGAAATTTTCTTGTTTGTATCTGTCTCCCTCCACCAGACGTGTGGGAAGTTAGAGGAAGACCCTTTTCATCTTGCCTTCCACTGGGCCACCCGTGTCTAGAATAGTGCCAGCACCTGCGAGGTGCTTAACAAGAATTTGTTTCACCACCAAATGAGTGAATCTTGGCTCCTATTTCACGGACGTGGGTGTAATGCACTGTCCTGGGCCCTCTCATCTGCACTGCATTTGATCCTCCCAGGAGCCCTATGTGGAGAGCATGACCATCCCCATTTTACACATTTCGGAAATTAAGTCTCCCGAGATGTGAGGCGGCCATCCTGACACACATGATCTCCCTGTTCTAGTTGAATGTTCCCAGTTCAGCCTCAGGACCACCAGCCTGCCTCCCCTCAGCAGCCAAACCCTCTGCCCTTCTCACCCTGTCCGATACCACTTGTCCTGTCCAACTGCTTCCACGGTCTTCTGGGGATCACCCCAGTAGCCCAGCATGACGCAGTATCCTCGGATCCACAGCTCTCCTGGTGTATTCAGCTTTGTCAGTGTCCCCGTCTCCGTGTTCACGATCTGGGCCTGGAACCGGGCAGCTTCAGGCCGGGACCTCCCACCCTCTCACTTCAGGATGGGGGAGGGGGGCCCTCAGGAATGAGGAGAACTTCACCTTCCCTCCCCCGAGTAATGAGGCTCCCGGCTCTGGCCATTCCAATCCAGGGAAGGGAGACAAAAGCTGGAGTAGATCCATCACCAGCCAGACACCTGAGCTGGGCACGAAAGAACGGTCAAAGCCAAGGCCTGGAGGAGCTGAGGAAACGGAGTGGGCAGGAGCTGCCACAGAGAGGAGGGCCTGTGGAGGGCCAGGCCAGCTGAGGAATTACAAACTATGCAGAAGGAAGGGAGTCTCTTCTTACTTCCCATTAAGCAGCAAATAAAGAAGTCAAAGAGGGTGGCATGGCAGAGCCCTGTGAACGGGAGCCGTGACCAAGAGGCAGAGTCTGAAAGCCTGTAAACAAATCAGCTGCAGCCAATGCGCGAGGAAAGCTTAGCCTGTGTGCCTCAGTGTCTGCCTCTGTGAAATGGGGACAAGTATGGCATCCCACTGAGTGGCAGTGAGGCCGTAGACACAGGAGAGGGAGCTAACGTCACTGCACACCCCCTCCGGGGAGGAGGGCAGGAGAGATGTGCAACGGGATGGCAGTTAGCCCCTGGGGAAGCAGCGGCTTGGGCACAATGGCAGTGACACAGTGGCAGGGGAACCAGGTGTAGGAGTGTTGGAGCAGCAAGGGAGTCATGGCTGGGAATTTGTGAGGGATGCTCTGGGTCCGCCTTCAAGGTGCAAGGGACCCCCAAAGGGACAGGCTGCTTGGGAAATTGTTTATGCCAAGCAAAAAGAGGAATTTTGCTGGAGTGAGAGGTGGAGGGGGGTCGGTGGCTATGGGAGAGAAAGAGCTGTGTAGGAAAAATCTCTGTGCTCTGGCTCCTCTTTGAGGCTGTCCTGGCTGCCCCGAAACAGACAGTGGGGCTTGGCAAAAACACACCTCAGACAGGAAGGGAGGCTGCAGAGAAGTTCAGCTGGCAGCTGCTCAAGGCCGCTGCTCCAGCTTTTCCCCTCTCAGGCCTCGGTCCACAGAGAAAGACCCAGGCCAAGGCAGACCCTGCTGCGGTGGGTCCCTCAGCATCTAGAGTGAGCTGTTTGGATCTTTAATTGAAAGCAAGAAATGTCCCATAAGAGTCCTGGGGAGCGAGGGTGCCCCCCCAGCTGAGTGGTGGGTAGGGTCTGGGGCTCACCTCTGTGTGAGGCATCACTCGGCCCACACTTTCTGCCTTCTCCTGCACAGTGTCCTCAGCAAAGTTCATAAAGGTCACGGGACTGTTCTCTGTGGTTCCGTAAGCCACCTAGAGGGTCCGGAAAGGGTGTATGGAGGGCGTGCGGGGACTGCAGAGGGATGGGGCGAGCTCCCCTCGGGGAATGGGAAAGAAGTCAGGGGAAAGTTGAAGGCAGCTGAATGGTGGGAAAAGAGGCATAATCAGCAGAGGTCAGGGGTCAGGAGGCAGAGGTGTTGGGAAGGTGAGTAGACTAGCTCAGCTAGCAGGGGCCCCAGGTCTGAGATAAACTGAAAGCAGGGAAGCCATTCTCTTCCATCCAGGGCTCTCTCAGTCTCCCTGCTTCCCTGGAGCAGCCCCAAGCCCGAACCTGAGGCTCGAACCTGTGGCTCCCAGCGTTACCAATGCTCCAGCCTTCTCTCCTTCTCCCCCAGGCTGCCTTAGCCCCCATCCCGGCCCCTTCCTGATTTAAAGCCACAACACCCCCTGCCCCTCCCTTCCAAGCCCAAGGTCCCATAAACTTGATGAGAAAGCCAGCCCGCCTTGGCCCAGCTGGGAGCTGCACGGACACACCCACCCACGCCTACCCTGCCCCACCTACACAAAACCTGGGACAAGTGCCTGGCCTTGGGGTGAGTGCCCCCCAAGCTCTGGAGACTTTCCTGTAAATTTCTTTCCATCAAAATAAAAATAGAGCCAAAGCTGGAATTTAAAAAGTCAGTGGCACCCCCCACCTCCCCACACTTCTAGTGGTTGGAACATCCTGAACAACAGAAAACCAGAAGCCAGCCTTGGAGGAGCCTAAATACCATCAGGGAATGTTGTGGGCCAACTATGACCCCCGTCTAGAGGCGAGTGGTGAAACGGAACTAAGAGAGGGACTAGCTACCCTGTATTCTAGGTTCCTTCGGTCAGCAAGGACACCAGACCTTTGTCTGTCCTACACCCCCACCACCCCCAATTTTCTCCGTACTAGCTGGCCCAGCTTAGGCACAGCTGGGGTCTGGCGAGATCTAAGGTCCCTTCCTCCCCCCCGCTCTCCAACACAGACAACAACCCCTACCAGGCAGCCCAGAGCTCACTCTGGGGCCAGAGCTGAGACCTTGCCTGCCCACCCTCCCCTTTCCACAGGAATCCGGGCACCGGGGCTGGCAAGTGGACGCACAGAGACCTGGTCGGCTGGGGCAGGGCTGCCCACAGGACCCAGGGTCTGGCAGCCCCAGCTGTCCAGAGCTGGTCCCTTGTAGCCAAGACTAGGCCCAACTCACCCGCCCTCATAGTCCTGGGGCCATTGCCCAGGTGTGGCCTCTTCCAAGTACACCTTGGCGCCACTCTGGCCGCCACCCTGAGAGACCCCTCAGGGGCAGGTCCTGACCACTGAGGGTGGAGGTGAGGAGATGGGGATATTTTAGGGAGATTGAGGAGCGCGGGAAGGTGGTGCCATTGTGCTTGTTCCGTCGCCCTGACTCCGTGCCTGTGGTCTTCAGGTGTGTTTACGAGTCCTGTGGGTCACCCCCACGCCCACCCTCAGTTCCCACTTTCTGGTGAGCCCTCAGTCGTGGAAAAAGGGGACAGGAGTGCAGGGGACAGAAACTCAAGCCCTGGGCTGCGAGCGAGCGGCCAGCGGCAAGTCTCCAGCCTGCCGGCAGGGGGAGCCCGAGCGGCCCTCACGCTCGGCCGGCGCCGCACAAGCGCCCCATTAAAAGCGCCGCCGGCCGGCAGACCGCGGCGAGACGTGCGTCCGGCTGTCCGGGCCCGCTTCCTCCCTCCCCGGGCCCAGGGCACCGGGCCCGGTGTGACTGGCGGTGGTGTGGAGGCTCAAACTTGAGCAAACAAATAAGTTCAGGGACGCCTCCCTCTCTCCGGTGTAAACTTGGGGCTCTAGACACACCCATCCCCCCATCCCAGAAAAGCGCGAGGAAAGGAGGTGGGGGTCGGGAGCTAGCAGGATCTGAGAGCAGGGAGGAGGGGAGCCAGGGCTGGGGGACGGGTTTGGGGGCCATGGTCCCAGCCTGCAGGGTCGCACGCTGGGGGAAGGGCCCCGCCCCCCTCCCCGTCCAGGGCGGGGGCGCATCTCTGGGCGGGAGGGAGTTAAGGCGGGTGCCCTCGATGCTCCACGTAGAAGCTGGCTCCGGCTGCCGGCTGCGGTCAGGGCCACCGTATAAATAGGGCGGGAGACCCGAGCGCCGAGGACTTGCCGCCGCCCGCGCCCCGCCGTCGCCGCTGCCCCCAGCCCCGGCCCCAGGCGTCTCGGCCATGGCTCGCCCGATGCTCTTGCTCAGCCTCGGCCTTCTGGCCGGTCTGCTGCCGGCGCTGGCCGCCTGCCCCCAGAACTGCCACTGCCACGGCGACCTGCAGCATGTCATCTGCGACAAGGTGGGGCTGCAGAAGATCCCCAAGGTGTCAGAGAAGACCAAGCTGCTCAACCTACAGCGTAACAACTTCCCGGTGCTGGCTGCCAACTCGTTTCGGGCCATGCCGAACCTCGTGTCGCTGCACCTGCAGCACTGCCAGATCCGCGAGGTGGCCTCCGGCGCCTTCCGTGGCCTCAAGCAGCTCATCTACCTATACCTGTCCCACAACGACATCCGTGTGCTGCGCGCCGGCGCCTTTGACGACCTGACCGAGCTCACCTACCTCTACCTGGACCACAACAAGGTGACTGAGCTGCCCCGGGGGCTGCTCTCCCCACTGGTCAACCTCTTCATCCTGCAGCTCAACAACAACAAGATCCGTGAGCTGCGCGCAGGCGCCTTCCAGGGCGCCAAGGATCTGCGCTGGCTCTACCTGTCGGAAAATGCACTCAGTTCCCTGCAGCCTGGCGCTCTGGACGATGTGGAGAACCTCGCCAAGTTCCACCTGGATAGGAACCAGCTGTCCAGCTACCCCTCAGCTGCTCTGAGCAAGCTGCGGGTGGTGGAGGAGCTGAAGCTGTCCCACAACCCCCTGAAAAGCATTCCTGACAACGCCTTCCAGTCCTTCGGCAGATACCTGGAGACCCTCTGGCTGGACAATACCAACCTGGAGAAGGTGAGCTCCTGGCTGCAGAGCTCTGCTCTGGCTGCAGCTCCTCTGCCTGGAGGCCCAGGGATCCAGGGCCACAGCTGGGCACCATCCCCTCTCCCCTAAAATTGCCTCTGTCTCTCTGGCTGTCTCCAGGGTGAGGAGCAGTGCCACCTCTGTCCCTCATCATATCACATCCCCACCATAAACCCTGTAGCCCCTGTCCCTTGTCTCAGCCACTGCCCTCCTAGGATTCCTACTTATAAACAGAGCTGGGGCTGCCCTGGCCCCACCAATGTCCCCTAGGAGGCATCTCCGGCACTCCCAACCCCCCCATCCCCCCCACCCCCCGCTGTGGGTAGCAGCCACCTCTTCCTGTTGGGCCTTCCGCCCCTCCTCTGCTGTGTTTTTCCTGTCTCCAGTCAACCTACCACTCCATAAAGGAAGTTTTGTTTATTGAGGAGCCTTCCAGAGGAGCTGGGCGAATCAGGCCCACAAAGAGACCCTGTTCCTAGTAGGGGTGTGCATGTGTGCTAAGGTGGGGTGGGGGCTGGGAAGTGAGGGGGGAACAAATACCTAAGGAAGACCTCCTCCACACCCCCCAGAGGCCCTGGTTGATGCAACTCCCCCACCCCCAGTCAGTCCAGACAAACACACACATTCCACTGCATTATGAGTCCATTTCAACTGAATGGGGACCAGGGACCAGGGGCTCCCCCAGGTTGCAGGCATGGCACCCATGAGCTTTGTGAAGGTGCAAAGGAAAGAGCCACGCACCATTGTCAGTCTTTGGTGCAGGACCCCGGGTATCTCCCTACAGGGAAGACTGGCTCTGCCTCACTGTGCCCCAGACCACTGAGTGCCCTTTGCGCACTCCAGCTGCCAGACCCATCTCTTGGCTGCATCCTTGCTCAGTCCTTCCTCCCCAGTGATGCCTAGCATCTGGCCAGGTGGGACTGCCTTGGGTCGGGGCAGAATCCCTCCTTGGGACTGGAAACTCTTTCTGGTATAGGGGTTTCAGCCAGGCGGTTTGGGCGGGGACCAGGGCAAGGTGGAGAAGCCACGTCATCAGAATAGCCTGGTTACCAGGGAACTTCACACCCTCCCTGGGCCACAGGCATGGAGATGAGGGTGGAATCATACCTGGATGGCAGCCAACCTTTGTCTGGGTGGATGGAGCCCACCTGAGCCTGCCCTTCTTCATCCCTGGCCCCTCCCCAGCTGAAGTCAGAGTCCCTTGTGGGCCACCAGTGCCACAGTGGCTTTTCAGTGGGCAGCAGGGGTTGATCTGGGGCAGGGGAGGCCAGGCAGGAACTGTGCTGCCTAGGCCAAGACATGGGCACCAATAGAACATTTCCTCTGTAGCCGCACAACCTGGCCAAAGGCTCCACCAAGGACACTCCACAAATAGTGTCTGGCAGGCAGTGAGGGAGCAGTGAGGACACAGCTGGGGGAAGTCCCAGGACCCTGGGTCTGTGGGGAGCCTGGGCCCACTGCCCATCCCGCCAAACACTGACCAGCTTCACTGTGTGCCAGCTTGGGCCATTGGGGCCAAACTCTGGCTGCCACTCCAGTCCCAGTGTTTGTATAGGGAGCATGGTGCCAGGAGAAGAGGAGCTGGGTGTGGTCCTGCAGCTACTGTTTACTTGCTAGTGTGACCCTGGGCAAGGGACTGAACTTTTTTTTTCCCTGTCTGCATTTCGGAAATAACACTACCTATCTCAAAAGGTGGTTGTATGGATTAGATCATCTGAGACAACTTAGTCACCGTGTGAAACTCCTCAAGGTACCATTGCTTATGTCTAGGGAAGGACCCTGCCCCTCCTGAGCCACAGAGCTGGGAGAGGCTGGGGTGCTCATTCATATCCACCTTGCCCCTCAGTTCTCCGACGGCGCCTTCCTGGGTGTGACCACGCTGAAACATGTCCATCTGGAGAACAACCGCCTGAACCAGCTGCCCTCCAACTTCCCCTTTGACAGCCTGGAGACCCTCACCCTCACCAACAACCCCTGGAAGTGTACTTGCCAGCTTCGGGGCCTCCGGAGGTGAGAGCCACCCCCAGAATCCACCCGCATTTGGTGAAGTGGAGATACACTGGTCCTGCACTAAGATATCTTGGGCATGTGTCCTAGATCTGCTACCTAATGGGTGTCTCCTGGGAGTTTCCCCGTTGTAAAATGAGGATGTTGGCTCCAGGCTATTCTGAGAGCCACATTGATCCTGGCCCAGGGCTCACTGTCCCTTCCCCCAGCACTCCCACATTTCTTCCCCAACCCCAGCAACTTTCTGTCTCTCTAGGTGGCTGGAAGCCAAGACTTCCCGCCCTGATGCCACTTGCGCCTCACCGGCCAAGTTCAGGGGCCAGCACATTCGTGACACCGACGCCTTCCGAGGCTGCAAGTTCCCTACTAAGAGGTCCAAGAAAGCCGGCCGCCATTAAACAGGTGAGGGCCGGGCGGGCAGGTTTCCCATTCCCTTCTGGAGATTCTGGCAAGTGAGGCGGGTGTCCCAGGATACTCCCTTCCCACAGAGGGGCATGTGGACCCTCCATTTTTGCAGCGAGAGGAGGGGAGGACTGGGATTCCCCTCTAAAGGAAAAAATGATACTGCCCAGGACTCCTACCATTCTCTCCAAGCACTCCTGGGTTGCTGAAGTCCTGACACTGATCATCTGAGTTGCTGGAGTCCTGACACTGATCCTTGCCTTACCGCAGGTCCTGACCCAGCCAGTCCTGGTGACTGGCCTCTGTCTTCTGCTGGAGAAACTACTGACCCTCCCACCTCTCACCCACACCTTCTCCCCACAGCCTCTGCTGATGCACAGAGCTGTCCACACCTAGATGGTCCTGGCAGGGGGAGTCGGGCACTCCACCATGAGCCCACTTCCACCTGCCGTGGAGAGCGCCATCACACCTGGCCCCACCACCATGGCTGCTCTCAGAGAAGCTGTTGCTGAGACCCCCAAGTCCTTCAGAACCAGAATACGGTGGTCATCAGGATGGCCAACCTTCCAGAATCCTCCTTCCCTCTGCCCCCCTTTCCCTGCTATTTGGAAACATCAGATCCTTGCCCCACCCTTGCTCCCAGAATGGGTCTTAAGCCCATCTCCCAACTCCGCCAGCCCCCACCTGCCAGGACACTCTAGCAGGACACCGGTGCTTTGCTGCATAGCCTCCCATGCTGCATTTCTTCCCCAGATGTCTATAAATATAAATATATGTATGTATGATATTTACTTCCTTGTCCCCTATCTCCATGACTCGCCAGCTACTGAAGAGGTCAGACTGCATTTTCTCACATCTGCTTTCTGGAATGAGGGCTAGCTGAGAGGGTCTTCTTGGAGAGGTAGCCTAGGCTCACCCCTACTCCCGCCAATCTGTCCCCACCCCAAGCCTGGGCTACCGCCCACCCACAGCCCTAGCCCCAGTCCCAGCCTCCACTCACCACCAGCTCCTTCATGTTCAGCTTGTTGATGATGGCTCGGATCAGCTCTGGGGGTGCAGGGGACCCAGCAATTACACCTGAATCAGAGAGAGGGCTGACACGGCTCCCCGCTTCTCCAGGCCCAATGGCCCCCCTTCCCTTACAACCCTTTCTGGGGAAGAACATTCCCTTCTCTCCAACTGACCCAGGACCTGTTTCTACACCTGGCAGCTGGCCTTGGGCTAGTGTTCAGGGACACTGGGGATTTGCCTCCCTCCCACCCACATTTCTACAGTGACCTTCTTGCCCTCTAAATAAAAGATTGGGTGCATATCTAGCTCACCCAGGCCAATCCTGGCCTGGCCACCCTTGCCCCATCCCACCTCCAAGCATGGCCGAGATGTCGTAACTGGAGAAGTCTGGCTGGTTCAGAATGTCCACAAACATTGTGGGGGTGCCATACAGGAAGGAGCCTCTGTATTGGGGTGGGGGGAGCACATCTCAAAATCAGGCTTAGAAGTGGAAGGTAACTCTTTCTTCTCCCCCATCCCACCCTGAACCTGAGTCAGGACCAAGGCTGCAACTGGGGGGCAACAGGCAGGAGAAGCTCTTTGGAAGCAGGAACTGGTCCTCTCCCGGGGGTCCCCCACTACCCCTGTCTCCATTTCTCCATTTCCATGTTTCCATTTCTCCTGGCTGGAGGGAGGAGAGATCTTGGAAAGGGATGAGGGTCCATGAGTGAGGAACAGGAGGGTTTCAGTAGCCCACGGGTGGCTGCCTACTGATGCCCACCTCTCTCTGCTGATGGCCTCCAGCGCCTTCTTGCCATCAAAGCTTGGAGAGGGCAGGATGAGGGTGATACCATGCGTCATGCTCACCATTGTGCCCCCTACAGAACCCAGGCAGTGGTACAGGGGGGTGGGCAGGACCATCCGCAACTCCTTCGGCATCTGGAGGTGGAGGCAGGAATCTGGTTCTATCCTGGAGCTAGAAGCCCCAGCAGCCAGTTCCTCTCGCCAGCAGGGGAAGCCCAGCAAGCCCCCGAGCCCTGCAGGTGCCAGTAAGCCTCGGCCTGGACCATCACCCCCTCACCTTCAGGGGCAGTCTGAGGCGCTCCCCTATCATGTTGGCGTTGTTGACAATGTTGTGGTGGGAGAGGGTGGCCCCCTTGGGGCTGCCTGTCGTCCCCTGATAAGACAAGCAGGTGATACTTGGCCTCCTTCTCCCCATCTCCTTCCTACCCTGGGCCACTGCATGGAAGAGTACTAGCCTGGGAGTCAGGAGACTGGGACTGTTGCCCTAGATCCATTCAGTCGGTCAAGACATATTCACAAAGGTTTACCATGTGCCTGCACGGTGCCAAGTGTTAGGATCCAGAAACGTGGAGGATAAGGCCTCTGTCCTCATGCTACTCATAAAGTGGCTCAGAGAACTCTGTGGCCCACCAGAAGATTTCCTCTCTGGGTTTCAGTTTCACCATCTGCTAAATGAGGGGCAGGCTCTACCAGCTCTGACCTGCGGTGGCATAGTGCATCTGCCCCTGGGATGGGGACAGGAGGGCCCGGGGAGGGGGACAAGTGACAAGGACACCAGTTGCTGATGTTTTCCAGGGCAGAGAGGACAGCTAGGGCTGGCCCCAGGAGAAGAGTGTCTGCGTGCCTGACCGCCTCTGCTCAAGGAAGGGTCATAGAGGCAGGCAGGGGTTAGCAGGTTAGTATGCCACCTGGGCTTGCGGCCCAGAGACCTCTGCCCTACCGAGGTGAACTGGATGTTGATGGGGTCATGGCAGGACAGGAACTTCTGGGTGTGCTGGAGGTGGGCCAGATGCTGCTCTGTATTGCCAGCTGCTATCACGTCATCCAGGAGCAGGGTCCCTGGCAGAGAGGCATCCACTAAGATGACTGTGGTCAGATCTGGAAGCCTGGGGGTAGGGAAGATGGTAAGAGTCAGGGGCTGAAGGAAGGCTCGGGGAGACACCAGCCTCATCCCTGGGGGTGGGTAGGGGATGAAGGGGCCCGGGGCACCCCACCTCTGACTCTTCAAGGCCCCTGGCTGGGCCTTCTCCAACTCTGGACAGATCTGCTTCAGGATGTTGTAGTATTGCTGGGTCTTGAATTGCTTGGGGAACACAAGGGCTTTGCAGCCCACCTGTGGAAGGAGAGCCCCCACCCCCACCCCCACAGTTAGCACGAAGCCCGGACTGGGGATCTGGTGGAGTCCACACTAACAGTTGCTCTCTCTCATACACATGCACCACTACCCTGACACACACATGCGCTACCCTCTAACACACACACGCCAACTCACATGCACCACCCCCAGGACATACACACATACACACAGGCCACCCCCAACACACAGACCAGCCTTGTGTCTGCCCGACTACCCCCTCCTCCCACCCACCCACAGCCTGAGGAAGGTACAGACTCTGGGGGTCACCACCTGTGCATGCCCTCCCCACCCCCTGTCAGACCTCAGTGACAACCAGACGCCCCCTGAGCCAGGCACCAGTTGGGCCCCTCCCCCAGGAGCAGGTCCTACCTTCTTGAGGGCATACTCCAGCTCCCTAGCCTGGTAGGCTGGGTTCACAGACACCTGGTGAAGACAGCAAGAGTATGTCAGTGTCCTGGGCAGACCCTGTCCCTCTCGCTGCCCCTCCACCCTCAGGAGGCACAGAGGCAGCACCTTCCACCTCTGGGCCTCCTTGGTAGTCTCCAGGAGAAAACACGACCTGATCTGAAATCAGTCAGGCACTGGTTTGGTTCTGAGGCCAAGGGGCCAGGGGGCTCCCCTTGAATGATGCCCTCTCCATATACCCAGCTGTGCCAGGCAAGCCCCTCCTCACCAGAATGATGCCCGCCTGGGCCGAGGCCAGCTGCATGAGCACCCACGCATAGGAGTTGGGTCCCCACATGCCCAGCCGGTCACCCTTGCAGAGGCCGATACTCAGGAGCCCAGAAGCAGCTTTGTCCACCTGATATAAACCAATGGGGCACAAAGGGATGAGATGTGGGCGAGCAGGAAGGAGCCCATGACTCCCACCTCAGCCCTTGGACCAGGGGTTCACATCTGAACCACCTGGGAGCAAGGGACAGGCAGATTCCCAGGCCTCAGGAGCGGGGCCTGGGAAATTGAATAGTTAACAAATGTCCAAGGAGTGACTGATGCAGACGGTATCCAGGCCACTTCTGCCTCAGTCCTGTCCCCTTCTCCTGACATCCCTTGGGGTTCTCAGGCAGCCACAGCACCCCGCCCCACAGCCAGGTGCTGCTCTTCTGGCTCCACCCAGCCAAGGCAGCCTGGGAGCTAGCACCTGCTCACTTTGAGGGTTCAAGGTCAGGACCCACCTCCTCCTTGAGCTGGGCAAAGGTCAACCGGACATTTTCATGGAGGACGACCAAGGCCTCTCGGTCCGGGATCTTCTGTACTGTGGCATCCAGGCACTGCCCCACAGTCTTGTTGATAAGATGCAATCCAGTGTGGCCCTGGATGTAGCTGCAGCCACCAACGGGCAGGGGGGCGGTGCCATCCACCTCTCTGGAACTACAGGGAGAGGGACTCTGGGCTTGATTGCACCAGGCCAGGCCTCCCTGGCACCAAGAGCCTGGCACACCCAGCTGGGAGGGAGGCTGCTTACAACGTGTTAGGGACCATTCAGGATAACTCTCCGACCCCACCCTATCCCCAGGAACCATGGCCATTTAACTTAGGGGCTGCTTGACCTTTGGGGGATCCAAACCCCGAGGCTGACTTCCTGTCTTTACTCTGAGAGAAGGTTCTTTGCCCAACCGACTCCCCAGTTTCTGCTCAGTGCCAGCAGCCTGGGGCCTGGAAAGGGAAACTGAGGGAAATCATGCTGCTTTGACTAAGCAGAGAGGTGGCCTAAGAGGGCTAGGAATGGCCTCATCCTGGTCACTGCTCACTCCTGATGAAAAGGCCCCTGGGTATTTGTCAAAACCCATAGAATAGTCCAAAACAAGGACTAAACCTTAACGTCAACTAGGGACCAGGGTCAATAAGAATGTATCAGTACCAGTTCACTAATTGTAACAGATGTGTCACACTATTGCAAGATGTTAATAATAGGCGAAACCGTGCGTGGGGTGGGGTGGAACTGTATGTACAATCTGCTCAGTTATTCTGTAACTCTAAAACTGTACTAAAAAAAAATAAAGTCTATTAATCATTAAAAAAACAAAAATAGGGGCTGGCCCTGTGGCGCAGCGGTTAAGTTCACATGTTCTGCTTCTGGGCGGCCCGAGGCTTGCCAGTTTGGATCCTGGGTGTGGACATGGCACCGCTTGGCAAGCCATGCTGTGGTAGGCGCCCCATGTATAAAGTAGAGGAAGATGGGCATGGATGTTAGCTCAGGGCCAGTCTTCCTCAGCAAAAAGAGGAGGATCAGCAGTAGTTAGCTCAGGGCTAATCTTCCTCAAAAAAAAAAAAAGAAAAAAAAGGCACCCGGAAGTCCAAGTATCACACACTTAAGCCTACATGTGCTCACTTGCCCACCTGGGTAACAGTGCTGGGCTCTCACCCAGGCCTAGTTGGGACTGTAACAGGTCTCAGATCCTGTTCCCATCAGAGAGCATGCTCCAGGATCCAGGACTTCCAGGGCACCACTAGGTGGTGTGGGCCCGAGGGCCAATCCCGGTGATTCAGTTCTGCAGCTGCTGTGCTAAAAAGACCACGTCTATCTATCTTTTGTTGATTGACTGCCTCTGACTTGATGGGGAGAATTATTGGGAAGATCAAGGCAGGAGGGAGCAAAACTGTGTTTGCCTGTAAATGGGAGAGGAGACCACTGCCACCTCACGGGAGGGTGAGTGATGATGCGGGCTCACGGGGAGGCTGCCCTGACTTTGACTCGGCCGGAGGCAGGGAAGGCAGAGATGAGTCACAGAGCTGAAGCTCTGCGGGGAGGAGCGAGCACTAGGCTGGGGTTGGGGGTCTGAGGTCTCATCCCAGTGTGCTGCTGGCTGGGTAAGTGACTCTTGCAGACACCTTTGGTGTCCCATGTCACGTCTCCTCAGCGCATCCCTGGTTTCAGCTGCTGGGACAGCTCCTTGGGGGTCCGTGTGCTCAGGGACTTCCTCAAGTCTCCCCTTCTTAAGCTGGACAGTTCTGGGAGGCATCTGTCCCTTCTCAGATGGTGGTACCATCAGAAGGTTTACCCTGGTGGGTAAAACCTGGTTGCCTGGGCGACGACTTCAATAACACACCCTCTATGGGCTTCTCTTCCTGTCTCCTTTCCCCACTCTCGTTTCCTAGGATCACAAATAAACCACCCGCACCTAAGTCCTTGTTCTGGGGGAAATCCAAGCTAAGACACAGGGCTTCTCCTCTCTAGGCCGCAGCTGCCCTACCTATAAAGTTTGGGGACTGGATCAGTGGTTATTCTCAAGGAGATGTTATTAAATGACCTGGGCAATCTTCTTGAAGGGTTGCAGGGAGCCACCTAAGCCCAGTGGCACCTGCAGGTGTGCTGGGACAGAAAGCAGCCAAGAACCACAAGGCCCTAAGGTCCTGTGAGCCCCCGCTCCCTGCTATCCATCGGATGACAAACCTAAGGAACTGATGAGGTAGTTCCCCGTGGTCACCATGACATCCCTCAAGAGAGGTTGTGTCCCTAAATCCCTGCCTCACAGACGTACCGTAGAGGGATCCATTCTTGCCCACTGAGAAACAATAAGCTCTTTCCTTTGGGTTTGCCAAACTGACAGTTGCAAGAGCAAGCATGTGGAGAAGAAAGCCAATGCAGAGGGCAGGAGGGAGAGATGGAGAGACAAAAACAGGAAGACACAGTGACAGACTTAATCTTGAGGTTGTTGAATCTCTGGACCCTGCCACACACTAAGTCTACCTACCTCTGGACTTGTCACTGTCAAAAGCCAGCTTGAGTTGGGTTTCTGTTACTTACAACCGGTGAATACTGACTACACCTACATTGTCCACATAGTGGATAACCAGGGCCCTTGAAGGCCTGGCGGGCCACCTCCTACAGCCCAGCATCTGGATTAGGAGGCAGCAAAATGCAAATCTCGGCCAGTTTAATGGTTTTGTTGTCAATAAAGCATTAAGGATGGGTGGTTTTGCCTCACAACAGGCATCCTCCTATTCTCACAATGACCTGGAGCCCTATTTGGTTGAACCTGGTTTTCTACTCACTCACCATGGTTTTCAGACCGGACAAGTGACCTCTTGCAAAGTCTAGCTGGCAATTAACAGGTTTATTTACGCACCCCCACCCCCCAAAATCCAGTTCAATGGTCATGTGTGTTCTCTGCTTTATCGTCATAGGAGCTCTGATAGGTGCTGTGACAGAGACCCCCAAATGCCCCTTCTTCCTTAATAATACACCCTCATGTTTAGCTGGCCGTGGCCACGTGGAATAGAGAACACATTTCCAAGCTTCCCAGCAGGTGGTCTGGCCCAAAGGTGTAGTTCTGGCTAATGGGATTTAAAGAGAGGTACTGTGTGCAACTTCTGAGAATACTTAAGGGGAAAAGGCATCTTTTCTTTTCCCTTCCCAGTGGCTGGAATGCTACCTGTGACAGGAAAAGAACGGCAGCCATCTTAGGCCACATAGTAAGCTTGGGCACCACAGAGCAACATGACAGAGGAGCCTGGAGCCTGACAGCAGGATGTGCCATGTCAGCCACAGACTGGCTGTCTTCCAGGAAAAGAAACTTCCATCTCCTTTAAACCACAGTGAGAATGGGGTTCTCTGATACACACTAAGCTAATCCTAAAAAATACAAGTGCGAATTATGAAGTCTACAGGTACAGAAATGGGAGTGCAAAGAGACCAAGCAGACTGCCCAGCTGGTAAATAGCCGAGCAAGAATCCAGTGTAACTCCCCCAGCGTTACAGCCATGCCTGCCCACATGCTTCCGGTTCTGGGGAGAAAGGAGTGGGACGGGTAATTCTGTTCTTTAGGCTGTGGATTTATCCCCTATCTGATTACCAGAGATTGTCTAATCTCAGTTTTATTTTGTCCATAATTGTTAACTAATTGAACCCAAGAAACTGGGACTAGGGTAGGGCAGGGTTGAGGTGAAGACAGGTGCCCCCTCCAAAGGACTGAAGGGTTGCAGAAACTCCTGTCAATGCATTTTGCTCATAAACCGAAGAAGGTCCCACCATTTTGAAAGCGCAGGCACAAATAGAAGCGATTTTACCCCCCTCTTTCCTTGAACACACCCCAAAAGCTATGGGCAAAAAAGATAGCCACTTCTTTTCCTATTCTTAAACAAAGTGGCAAATATCCCCTTTAAACCTGAAAAAGACAAGAAAGAGATTTGGTTTTAGGAAAAGATTTTTGTTTGTTTAAATGTGGGTGGGAAGCTTAAGGAGGTAGAGGCGAGCCAGCCTTTCCAATTGCTCTCAATTCAAAGAACTGAGTAAATAAAATAAACACTTGGGAAGGCCGGCAGCTACCTGGACTGGGCATTGTAAAACGCAAGGCTCCAGGTGGGACCTAAGCTAATTAAACTAGCCAGGTGGGAGCTGTGAAGGACCTGGAGGCAACACAGCCTCGCCTACAGGTGCCCTCAGGGAGTTGGCACATGAGACTTCAGGCCCAGATCTGCTGCCAGATCTGATTTCATAAGAGAAGGCAGGAAACAAGGACTTTTAAAATTTTTTCAAGAATTTTCTTGACTTCATTTTTGACAACTAATATGTTCACTGTTTTATCCCCAGTGCCTTACAGTACCCAGAATGTGAGAGGTGCTCTGTTGAATGACCAAATGAATGGATCATAAATGATGCACATAGAATCCAACTAAAAAATAAGCAAAGGACTTGGATAGGCACTTTTTCCAAAGAAGATATGCGAATGGTCAACAAGTATGAGAAATGCAAATTAAAACCACAATGAGATGCCACTTCAAACCCACTACGAAGGCTATAATCAAAAAACCAAAATGACAAGTATTGGTGAGCATGGGGAGAAATTGGAACACTTGTGCATTGCTGGTGGGAAAGTCAAATGGTGCAGCCACTTTGGAAAACAGTCTGGCAGTTCTCCAATAAGTTAAACATAGAATTGCCATATAACCCATATAATTCCACTCTTTGGTACGTACGAATTGAAAACAGATGTTCAGAAAAAGACTTGTACACAAATGTTTCTAGCAGCACTATTTAATAGCCAAAAGGTGAAAACAACCCAAAGGTCCAGAGCGGAGAAATGGATAAACAAAATGTGAAATATTCATACAATGGGATATTATTTGGCCATTCGAAGGAATTAAGTAGTGGTACATTTGTGAAAATAAATAAAGGAAACCTCATTTAAAATGGAATCGGGAAGGCCTGAAGGGGGAACTGACACACATACCACTTGTTGCAGCTGCATAACTAGCAGGAAGAAAGGTGAGAATTATTTTGACAAGGGAGGACATTAATCATGTGGGAATTTCATCTCCTGCTTTTAAGAAAAACAAGGAAGATTTCTCCCTGCCCCAGCGACAAGGCACTAACCACTGCTTGTAGTCCATGAGAAGCTGCCACAGCCTCAAGCTCTGGTTCTTCTCCAAGGTTTTGTTCAAAGGAAGCTTGCCCAGTTTCCTCCTGAAACCTCATAAAACCTGACTTTCCCTTTGTCCCTTGGGACAGACCTATGTTTCGCCATAGCTTGTGTGTCCCGAATTGTAATTGCTCTGCCATTCCTAAATAAATCCATTTTGCTGGTAAAATAATTTGCTGTTTTATTTTTAAGTTGACACATTCTGCAACACGGATGAACCTTGAAAACATTATGGTAAGTGAAAGAAGCCAGACACAGAAAGCCACATATTGCATAATTCCGTTTATATGAAATATTGAGAATAGACAAATCTATAGAGACAGAAAGTAGATTAAGGGGTTGCTTAGGGCTGGGGGGATGCGAGGAGAGAGAGGTGATAGCTGAGGGTGTGGGGTTTCTCTCTGAGGTGATGAAAATGTTCTAAAGTTGACTGTGGTGATGGTTGTACATATTCATAAGTGTACTAAAAACTATTGGATTTACGCTTTTAAAAATGATGCACATAATTTCACTCCTAGGTATATATCCAGCAGAAATCATACATGTGCTCACCCAGAGACAGGTATTAGACATATTATCTCCATACTATCCATATTATCTCCAATATAGAAACTACCCAAATACCCATCAACAGTAGAATAGATAAGTGGTGATTTATTATTTGCAATGTTGTACATTAATGAAAGCAAACGAACTATGACTACATCCAACAATGTGAATGAAACTCACTTAAAAAACGTTAAATGAGGGCCGGCCCCGTGGCCGAGTGGTTAAGTTCATGCACTCCACTTTGGTGGCCCAGGGTTTCACCGGTTCCGATCCTGGGCACAGACATGGCACCGCTCATCAAACCACGCTGAGGTGGCGTCGCACATACCACAACTAGAAGGACCCACAACTAAAAATACACAACTATGTACTGGGGGGGGTTTGGGGAGAACAAGGAAAACAGACCAAGTGACACTGACACATAAAATACATAACAACCAAATCTGCCCCAAAGTCACAGAAGAAGGAAGATAAATGGCCAGTTAGCATAGGAAAGAGGTTCATGTCACAAATCTAAGTAAAATGACCAGGAGGTATTTGTTCCCTGAGAGATCAGCAATGATGGAAAATATTGATATTACGATGTCTGACACTTATTTTCAAATAGTGGCAAAAAAGGTGTGTGTGTGCATTTGCAGAGAGAGAAAGGCCGACAGTGCCTTGAGGAGACTTCCTCTCAGACCCTTTAGCAGCTGATATTTCCAACTCAGTCTTTTTGGTCATTCTTCTGGATAATCATGCCACCGGCCCACGTGAGCCGTTATTCTAAAAATCATATATATATTGAAAGTAATTAAATCTGTCTGATATTGTAATAAATGAGAAGTCACTACAAGGGAAAATATAACAAATCAGTAATTCTCTGCCCAAACTAAAGATTGCTGTCTTTCTAGAGGAGTCCTGGTTAATTTCCAAATTAATTAAATGCCCCAAATTGTATAAACCTCAGAACCCAAAAAATCTAGATCCTTTCTTATTTAGTAAAATCTACTAATGTTTGAATATGCCCATACCTTTTGACCAGCAATTCTACTTTTAGGAATCTATCCTAAAAAACAAGAAACAAAAAAAACTAATGAACACCTAAGGTACAAATAAGAATGTTAATTGCTGCTTAGCAAAGAATTGAGAAAAAAACTTTATTTCTATAAGTAAGGGATTAGATAACTAAATTATGGGGCATCTATACAATGGAACACTATGCCATTAAAAAAATGGAGACTATATTTTTAATGATATGGAAAATGTCTAATATATTTTAGGTGAAAAAGCACATTTCAAGATAATGTGAACTGACATTCACTGGTGTGTCCTCATGCCAGCTCTCTTCTAAACACTCCACACACATGATTTCTTGTGATCCTCATGACCACTCCCTAACCAAGATGCATACCCACTTTATAGATGAGAAAATGAGGCTCAAAGAAATGCAGGTAAGAGGCCAAGCTGGGATTCATACCTAGGACTTGCACTTCCAAGGTCTCGATACAATACAAGATGAGACTTTGTAGAGGCTTATGGCTTAAAAAGGGCTTCCGTGTGTGTCATGTGATCCTCACATCAGTCTTGGACCATCTATAAAAAGAATTATTCCTTTTTGTGGATGAAGAAGCAAGAGGTTCATTTTCTTAAGGTTCCAAATCTGGTGGGTGGCAACCGTGGACCCTTTTCTGCATCCACTGCTCTTTACATTGCATCCCAGGGGCCGGCCCCGTGGCCAAGTGGTTAAGTTCATGTGTTCCGGCCCAGGGTTTTACATGTTCCGATCCTGGGCGTGGATGTGGCACCACTCATCAGGCCATGCTGAGGCGGCGTCCCACATTGTACACTGCATCCCATCCACAGCCTCCCCCGGGGCCCTGTGGGGACTGGAGCAGCAAACCTGAGGCTGATGGGCACTTGGAGTGCCATGGGCCCGTGGAGAACTACCCCCACCCGGCCCCCACCTCTCACTCTCAAGCACACACTGGCCCTTTTCTGTGCTTTACTTGTGGTATCTGATTCATCTTCTTCACTGCCTCTGACCTCACTGTCCTGTTCTCATGGTTCCAGCTCGCCTCTCCTGGCACCAACCACAATGGCTTTGTACCCTAACTGCACGGCCTCCTGGTTAGACCAAGCTGGAAAGCCTTGTGTCCCAGTGTCGGCCCTGCACAATCCAGCCTTGCCTTCCAGCAGGACCTAGACAGAAAACACGGGCTGGCATGTTCCTGTGGAACATCTTGTGACATTCCAGTTCTGGTGACTAACGTCAGGGCTAGAGGCTGCTCTGGGCACCAAGGACCACACAGTCCTGACAAGGTCCGGTGGACAGCACAGACAGAGCTGGGCCTGGAGGAGTCGTGGATGGGAGGTAGGGAGATCACAACGCCTGAGCAAACAGGTCTGTAGAGTCTACCTGTGAGAGAAGCTGTTTGTTCAGCCTCCTGTTACACATTACCTGCTGGGTGAAGGTGCTTGGGACCTGGGCCAGAGACTTGCAGGTGGACCCTGCCCCTGCAGGAGGCTGAGCGTCTCCAGGTCCTGAGCAAGGCCTCTTAATCCTTTCAGAAGCCACCAAGGAGGGAGCGTGACTAGATGTGAGGGCCCCTCACATGGAACTGGGGGGACATTTCCCAAGCTGAGGCTGACCACAGCTCCCCTGGGCAAGGGGCAACACCAGCCACTAGGAAGAAGGTTTTAGAAACAAAACTGGAAGCAACAGCCTACTTTTGTTCTAAGTCACGGACTGGCCTCTGCTCCTCCCCCTACAGGCATTGGATGCCAGGCTGGTCCCTGAGCCCTAAGAGAAACATAAATCCTCAATGAAGCTAAAAGGCAAGCAACTGCAAGAGTTTACAAATTTTATTTTATATACAAGAGACCAGGTATTAGTATTTAGCCTATATTTAAAAAAAAATAAAGGGCCAGCTCTGGTGGCCTAGTGGTTAAATTTGGCACACTCTACTTCGGTGGGCCAGGTTTGGTTCCTGGGCATGGACCTACACCACTCACCTGTCAGTAGCCATGCTGTGGCAGTGGCTCATGTACAAAAAGAGGAAGATTGGCAACAGATGTTAGCTCAAGGCAAATCTTCCTCAGCAAAAGAAAAAAAAAACACCAAATATTAACACAATAAATGGGTATAGGATATGAAGAGAATACTCACAGAAGACATTTCAAAAGATGCCCAATCTTATTGGTAATCAGGGAAATGTAAGTTCAAACCACAATGAGATAATCTTTTGTCCCCACCAGAGTGGCAAGCATTTAACATTCAGCAACACTAAGTACTTGCGAGGATGTGGGGAAACAGTGACTCGGTTGCTCCTGGGGGTCAGAGCAGCACAGCCTCTCCAGGGAAATTTCTAGAAAAGCTGAAAATCTCAAGCTTTTAACACAGGACTTGCACTGCCAGAGACATAGTCATACAAGGGTCCACTCTACAGCAGGTTAAACAGATAATTTAGATCTACAGGTGCCAGTGTAAATAGACCTCAAAAACATACTGTTGAGTGAAAAAAGAAGGGCACTACGATACTATTTTTGCTAAAACTATAAAAGCATAATAAGTATTCTTTATGTATACAAATAATAGGAAAATTAAGAGCACCTATTACTTGCAAGACATGATTCTAAGTGCCTTGCAAATGACACAATATACTGTTTATGGATCTAGAGACATATTAAAAGCAAAAAACATGTTCTGACATGACATACATTAAATTCACGACAGTGGCTCTCTGGTGAGGGGTGGTTTGGAGGAGGGTTAGCGAAGGGACTTCAACTTGATTTGTAACATTGTATTTCTTTTATTTATAATTTTCTGTAACAAGTCTGGTTCTATTTTAATTTGGAGTGGTAGGTATGCAGGTGTTTGTTATTCTATCGTGGGATTATGTTTAAAATCATTTTCCACATAAAAGTTTTTTTAGTATTATTATTTTCTTTTGGTGAGGAAGATTGGCCCTGAGGTAACATCTGTTGCCAATCTTTCTCTTTTTGCTGAGGAAGACTGGCCCTGAGCTAACATCCACGTCAATCTTCCTCTATTTTATACGTGAGACACCACCATGACATGGCTTGACAAGTGGTGTGTAGGTCCGCGTCCAGGATCCCAATCCGTGAACTCCAGCCTGCTGAAGTGGAGTACGTGAACTTAACCACTACACCACCAGGCTGGATCCTCCATGTGAAATTTTTAAGAGGCAAAATACTAGAGGCCTGATGATCTCCTAAGAAGGGTTCATAAAATATTTAAAAGGTGCGGCAACTTCCTGGCGTGGACCGAATGAGACCCACAGGACCTGTCATGTGAAGGCCAGGGCAGGATTAACATTTACGCATTGAGGAAGAGCCCCAGTCCATCCATTAAGTTCATGTGCTGTGCTCATAGGCAAACCTCAGTTCTCAGTCAACACATTCACTCTTGTGTAAGACATAGTTCTAGTTGAATGTGCCAATAAATCTCCTAGCTCATGGCAGATGAGAGGCAGGCTCTCCTCTTGCATGTCCCTTAGACATCACCCCAAGATTCATTCTCCAATACACCATTCTTCCAGCCCATGCATCACTCACCAATGCACACACCATGGGGCTGCATCCTCTCAGGGGCAGGGGGCTCCTTTCCCTAATTTGCACAAA